TTGTAGATTCAGACACCTAAATTTAGGTAGGTGCATAGCAGAGCTTACACATGAGGTATCTGAGCTCACCGTATCATTCTGGTATCTATCTATCAATAGATGGGGTGATTTAGTTGTTATCTGGGCTTCTGCTGAGCTCTCAAAAGGGACATGGACACTGAGCTCATATATATGTAGTCATACAAATTCAGGTGCTTAATTTTGAATGGAATCCCATCTGGTACATCACTTATGACAAGCTGCATATTCAATCCATCTCTTGTTTTTCTTCTCCACAGTAGGAGAATTATGGTAATTTCTCTCTTTATAGAGGTCTGTGAGAGTCATCAATGAAAAGTTCTAAAGCTCCCTGAAAATAATAGAATATATTCAGGGAGAATTTAGGATGGATGTATGGAAAGCTCATTTTCATGGTAAAAATGTTCAGCTTTGTTATATTTTGCTAGAGGATATAAGAAGAAACCTCTTCAGAGTTTAAAAAAGGTTTTGAACAATGTCTTTGAGAAAATATAATAATGAAACATTCACAAGTAGAGGGGCTGTATAATGAATTGGCATTCGTTTTGTGCTATTAGTGAATATATTTTTAGCGATAGTGTAAATCCTTTTTGGGGATGTGAAAGGGCAAAAGGCAGGTTTGGGGAACAGCTGGTGCTTTGAGTTTTTGCCAGTTGCTCAAATACTTGAAAACCCAGCTTGTCTCTTATAATAGCTGTGCTCTGCTGTTGTTTGGAAAGATTGTACATTGTGTTTGTCCTCTTTCATGTTTGTTACTGTACATCTGCTTTCTACTTGTTTTTTTTTTTTTTTAAAATCTGACTTGCCAAGACAATGTCAAACTTCTTACATGCAGTTTAACAGCTGTTGTCCAGAGGAAGGTGGTCTGAGCTGACCTGGAGTGATACTCCTGCAACTGCAGGGGAGGTGTGGAAAGAAAAGCAAAAATGGTTCAATTATCTCTTTCTGTACCCTACTTGCCTCTACAGCAATAACAACTGGAATAAGTGCCTTCTAATTTTAAAATAAAAGGCAGTTATGAAAGTTGTTATGGGGGGCGTGGAAGAAAAAAAAGGGAGGTGAGAGTACGGAGGGAGCATGCCTAATGTGAATTTTTAATGGACTGATCTAAATTAATTCAAGCTTCTGATGTCCTGTCCTTTCAGAATGTGTGTGAAAATCGAGTTAGATTAGCTGTGCAGTTGCTGATGCCTGTTGGGTTTGGAGAGCAGTGTCCGTTTGTGCTCCAGTCAGAGTTCAGTCCAGCCAGATGTTGCGTTTGGTCCATGTCCAATGAAGCACGCATGGATTTAGTGAGATGTTAAGTGACATCTCACCCTCTTAGTTTTCTTCTTCCCACTTTGACTCCTGCTCCCATTTTTCTGGTCTGATGCTAATGTCTCATACATTTCTAGTGCAGCCAGTTATATATATTCAGTATAGCATCTTCCTAGGTCCTTCATCTCTTGTGCCAGATGCAGCTGGTGGTTTAAAGCCAGCTGTGCCGGGTGTAGGTGGCTCCATGCAGGGAGCGGAGTTGGACCTATTTATCCTAGCTGTAAATTTATAGCAGTATTGCCTACTCAGCTGGGGTAAAATGTGTAAGAAAATGATCAACTATGATTGGTCCCAATCTTCTGAACTGATACAATTTTTTAAAATAGTAACAACATAGTTGCCTTATGTTTTCCGTTTATTTAGGGATGGCAGGGAAGAGAAGTTCCTTAACCTCCATGTTGTAAAACTGAGTGTGATTTTACTAAATGCCAATGTATTTAATACTGTGGCAGGATATCACAATGAGTATCTTGTCTAGTAATAAACTGGGGCTGAAGTGTGACTCGAAACAGGTGGAAGTCAGTGAAACTGCCATTGCCAGCTCTTTTTCTGCACCTGGTAACGTACTGCACCCCAGCCTGGTTGAGCCTGATGAAGCCCCTGTAATTTAGAGGCTTATTTTGTCCTGATTTCTTGTTTAACCTCCTGTTACATAATTTTGAAAAAATTTTAGCCTCGCTTCTCATGAATTGTCTTTTAAGAAAGATTAAGTTCATCTAACTTGAGTTGTGTGTGGTGAAGAAAAGTGTGGTAGTGCTTTGGTAGCAAGAACACATAGTGATAAGAGCCTTTTTACTTATTAATGGGTTAGTAGCTGAATAGGTCTGTAAGCATTTGATTCAGATAATTGAAGGTTTCAAATTAGCAGAAACTTATAATCGTAATCGCAAGCCTCTTTCTTTTTTTCTTCCCCTCTGATCAGGAGCAGTTAATGCATTGCTTAATCTGTTGCATATATTTACTCATCAGTGTTCAGTTTAACTTTTGGAATTAAACTTCACACTGAAATGAGGTGGATACATAATAATTTAAATGCATTCAAAAATGAAAGTTGTTGTCCCCCCCCAGCACTACTGTGTTTTAGCCTGTTCTTTAAAGAAATGGGATGTCTTGGGTTGGTCTGTCTCTCCCCTTCTAGCTCTTGAACGCATTGGACCCATTCATAAAGAATTGATGAGAAAATGAAAAAATGAAACCGCAGTTGTATGTTTTCTTCAAATGAGCTTTTATAGGCAAGGACGAACATGATGTGGAGAAGGGACTTAAATTAGTGCTCCTGGTGAAAAACATTTTGATGATGCTTGGTGTGGTAGGTGTTTCAGGAGGTAGCAGGTGATGAGCTGGGCAGCGTGCAGCCAGCTTCTGACTTTTCCCAGTGTGTTCTGTGGGGTGGTGGGGAAAAGTCAGGTAAACTGCAAAAGGTAAGAGAGGGGCCAGCTCCTTGAATGCTAGACAGAAAGCCATGGGAAGCTAGGCTCTGTTCTCCTGGACTTCTGGTCTTTTCATATAAGAATTTATGTAAGAAGGGTTAAAAAAATGAAATCTCGGGTATGAACTTGTATAGCAAAACATATTCCCAGTAATTCTCTTTAAGCAACCAAACCAACCCCCACAAACCCCCAAACCAGTAATATGGTTGCCTTGTTCATCAGAGTGTTTTACTGATGAATTGCACGTAAAAATTAGTTGCAAGGAAAGACAATTTTATGATATGTCTAATCACCCACCAGTATTTCAGGAATTCTGTTGTCATAGTTGTAGGGAATCTTTATGCCTTTAGTTTGTATGGCAGTGTTGTTAACGTTAGAGAAGAACAAAAATTGTAGCTTGTGTGTTGGAGTAATACTAAGACTTGGAATTGGCTGCTTTAGCACTGATTTATGCTCCTGTTAATTTACTACTTACTAATTACGTTTATGAACATTTTACTGCATAGTGAAACAATGCCTCATAATGACTTTTATTTCATTGTTGCAATGTGCTAGCCTGTTTGCAGTGTGATGTTGTTAGATGTTGCTCTTCAATAACCGTGAATTTCCAGTTTTTACCTATTTTTGATCAAGTTCAGGAAACTGACTGCATTGAATATTAAGTAATATTTTAAAATGCATCTGTTTATAGAGGAATATGAAACCAGAACAGAAACAAGAAGCTTTTCGGTCTAATATAAAAATTGTTCCTCTCTTATCTCTGATGTATTGTTTAAAAATTAGCAAACTCAGTCGGCCTTAAATTCTGACATATTTGAATAACTGTCTCATATTAAGAAACATATAAAATATAATTCAAGACTACTGCTTAGAAGTCATGATTCTGTTTCTTCCTGGCCTGTTCTGAAATAATCTTACAGGTAAATAATTTGCTATTTGCTAATTACTTAACAGTTGTTAGTTTTTTAGAAATGATCTTGAGAAGAAAATATTTTAAATCTTCAGAGGGGGTCTTAATTACAAAAATCATTATGCAACATTTGAAAAGCAAAAAGGTATTTTAATCACTAATGTGATTTTAATTAGAGAAATTCAAAGGTTACTTTAATTGCTGTAGTGCAATAAAAAAGAAATTTTCAGTTAAGTCTTTTCCAAAAGAACTTAATGTCCTTGGTAACACTGTAAATTCTCATACCAGAAAATTTTGGTGCCACATGGTCTTTAATCAGAATATTATTCAGAAGTAGTGCATGGACATTGAATTATCAGTGTTAAAAAAAGGTAATCATATAATTATAATTGTGTTAATGCCGTTTTAAAGAAAACTGCTTAAGAACTTCTAAAATTATATGGTCTCATTTCCCTTTTGTGGGAATTCTGTCCCACTTGGGCATCCTTGCTCTCTAAGCTTCTCTCTGCAGGATAGTGTTTTCTGTGCCCTTTCGCAACGCTTTGAGATCCCTTTTTGTATTTGTTTTCCCCATCCTAGTTTCTTTTAGTTTTCCAAGACAACCAGTTCTGACAACCTTTTGTTTTCTTAGATGAATGTCTTTCCACATCTGGCATGTTCCCAGAATCTGTTCGCTAAGTGCTCTTACCTCATTCAGATTGTCATTCAGCACCACCTGTGGAAAACCACCTTCTTCCTCACCTTGCAGCTTCTTCCTTATTGTCACCCAGCCTATTTTTGAGGCCCTTGCCCTTATCCGTCAGATGAGTTTATCATTTTGACTGAAAACTGTCAGAGCGAGGGTAGGTCAGTGTCTGGTGTAGTCAGGGGGCTGTAACGCATGGACAGTCTGCCGGTGGCCTGCTTGCCAAGGCAGCAAGCCAGCTTGCTCCAGACAGCGAACTCTCCTGCCACTCCTGTGGGGACTGCCAGTTTTTTTATAAATGCAAATGTGCACTTTAGTCCAGTGATTCTGGTACTGTAGCACGAGTCTGTGTATACAGTAAATCTTACACCAAATCCAAGACAAAAGGTGGGCGTTATTCACGTGGATTGTATTCTCTATGCTTTTCTGCGGTGCTCTTGTCATGTTCTGGCTTGGGTGCGTGACTCCAGTGCCTCGGTAGGAACTGTACAGTAGCTCACGCCAGGAATGCTGAAGCAACTCATTTAAAAGAAGAAAGGTGAAGTACATTTTGTAGGAAAAGCTGAATGTGTGCTACACAGATTCATACTTCTTAATTTCATTTTTGTAAATATAATACATATTTTTCTGTAAATTCCAGGTTGTGAGCCATGCCTTTGGTGAAAAGGAACATTGAACCACGGCATCTCTGCCGAGGAGCACTGCCAGAGGGAATTACTAGTGAACTGGAATGTGTAACGAATAGCACCCTTGCTGCTATCATACGCCAGCTAAGCAGCTTAAGTAAGTATCTGTAACTTCCTGCAAGTATTTGATTCCTGATGAAAAACTGAATAAATGAAAAGCTGTAAGATGGCTTGTTTTAAATAGCAAAATTATGATACAGGGCATTGCCACTTATGTAATATAATAATATAATGCTACTTCATTGCTTTTATGCTATTCTGTATTTTGAAGCTTATACAAGGAGAGCTTCTCTAAGATTTACAAGTGTACAAAAAAACCAACCCACCAAAACCAAACCAAACAAAAAAACCCCCAAAGAACAATCAAAAAACTATGGTATAGAAACCCAGGAATTTTTCTAAGGTGAGAGAAATTGGTGCAAGAAACAAGACTAGCACTTGAGTTATTCTTGGTGTTCAGTTGTACAAGACGAAGCCAGCAAGCTCTTCTGCCTCTTGGCATCAAATCACACATTTGACTGAAATTTCAGTTCATCTTAATGTGCTAATGCTTCTTAAGCCTTTTCTTCATATATGTGTGTGATCAATTCATATGAGTGAAATTAAGCAATTAAAATAAGCGTTCAAAAGAATGGCATTCACTGACCAAACCTCTAGGCTATTGTTGAGGCAAGCTAGAGTCAGCTCCGTAAAGAGCAGCCTACACAGTACACCTGTTAGTTGACACTACAACTAGCAGTTCTGGAAGCATGCCTGGAGTGTTTGCAAGAAGAAGAATATTTCTTAATGAATGAGAAAAGAGATTTCTTCGGAGTGTTTAACAATCTGCAGCTGTTGTTTGTGCTGGTAACTCTGGTCCTAGAAAAGAAATTATCGTTTCATCAGTTTCGTCACATTGGAAATGGAAGTAGTTTAAGGATGTAAAAAAGTCCGAATGGAGTTTAGACTATGGGTCCCACTAAATCCGGTGTTCAATTTGTGATGAAAGGAAATATGCATAGAGAAAGAGTAAAAGAAACACAGCATGTTACCGTTTCCAGCAGTCAGTGATTTGGGGATTTTCTGAGCTGGAGGTCCATCTGAATCATCCTAAGTACTGAGCATTTGTAAACTTATTGTGTGGAATTGCTTAGATGTGTTCAAACAGGGATTGCACTTTTTTTTTGCCCAATAACCTGTGGCAGAATGTCCCACAACAGAAGTTGATCTGTGTTTTCCTTTTGATACCTTCTGGTTCTTGAGTTGTGAAAAATAATGGAAGGTGATTTCATCTTATGCATTTCTGTAATCATCTGTGACTTTATTAAGTCTTTATTGTGTTCTCCTAGTGATATCTTTTCCAGGTTGGAGTGTCCTGATCTGCTAGTACTCTTTTTGGGTAGAAACTGTTTTGTATTTCTGATTGTTGTTACTTCTGCTTTAGATATATAAGTTAGAGTATGTTGGGTTTTTTTTAAGGTGGAGTGTTTTGATTATGATCTGAAGGCCTCAACAGATTTTTTTCTGGTTTATCATTAGTTCCCTAAGAATTTAGAGAATTTTGATTGCTTGCTAAGCTTTGAGCTGATATTTTTAGAGAATTTTCCAAGTGATTCTCTGATCTTTCTTGAAGAGTAGCTGCTGATTTAGTGTCTAATGTTATTTATAGTGAATTTGTGTTTGTATTGTCATTGAGTTTCAGTTTCTGTTTTATCAGGCAGTTGCTCAGTATTGACATCCTTAAGTTTCAGAAAATTGAGAAGAATGGCTAATGTCCTAATTACATTCAAGGATATCTGATAAGGCATCATTTTGGTATTGTATAATGGTTGCCAAAGTGTGGATAATACACTTTTCACTTGTCTGACTTGCTAGGAATGTGTAGCTTCCAGTTCTCCAGATCTGGTTTTGTGGCTAATCTGCCTGTTACATTGCATATTCAGATCCTCTTAGGATTGTTGCTGAGGAGCTGGCTACTTACACAATCCATGTCCTGCAGTTTTCCCTTAGCGGATTTCTTGGGTCATCAGAAGTCTCCGTAGACAGCCCTAAAGTACTTTATTAGTGTCAAGTTAAAGATCTATGCAAATAAATGATGTATCCTTTGTTTTAACAGATGAATACATGGTATTTAGTAAGTGAAATGTACCACGAGGCTTGTCCACAGTCTAAAATCCGTCATGTTTGCAGAGGGATTTTTTTTGCAGACAGCATTTGTTTTGCCTATGTTTCAAGCCAACTGGGAGCAAGGAAATGATCATAGAAAAATGCTGTACTGGAGCTAATGTAGTATGTCCTGCTGACAGCATCAGAGCTCGTTGGTGTTCCCACAGCTTGAAGCGTAGAGAGAGCAAGTACAGGTCTATCTTGCAAGTCACACTGTTTTTTAATGTTGCACTGTGAGTTCAGTGTGGATTTTAAAAACTGCCAGATCTGTGCTGTTGCGTACAAATTTGGCTAGCTTCTGCCTCTGCTCTTTTCAGGAGACATGAACAAGTTCCTATCCAAAGGGAATGTGCTCTCAGTGAAGTTTTTTTTCTATTATGTCTTCAGATTTGGGTTTGTTTGCAGCCAGCTGGCTTAGAGCACAAGCAGAGTGAGCAGTGTTCTGTATGAAACTCTGCACTTTTATATAAGGCAACAGCTTGACTAGGGGATTCACCTCCACTTGGGAGGAGAGAATCTATCTGGGATGGCACTGGGAGCATTTGCAGCCTGTACCTTTAAGTACCATGATGCTATACCCTAGTAAACAGTGTCATGGAGCAAAGGCTTTGAAAAAAGCTTCCACAAAATACTCCCTTACTTTTGGCAGTGAAGTTTGGTCTGATGGCTGGAGGACTCCAGCCAATGAAGAAAGCTGCTCTCTGCAACAGGATCCATTGCGCCATGGTTTTGTTCCTGTGTTTTGCATATCTGTATATATGAGGAAGAAATAATAAATTACATCTAATTGTCGTTGGAAGACTAAATATTAAAAACTGTATATGTACTCCTTTACTGAGCTTTTCTTAATTAGATTTCAGTCTGTACATTAACATACTCGTGTTTCAAGTTGCATTATCACTTCTTTTCCTTTCCTTTCCTTGCTGTCAGTCTTTAAATATTTTGTATTTTTGTATCTTTGGCTTCTCCATTCATTCAGATACTACCTGTCAGGCTGAAATCTTGTTTCTATATGGGTATAAACCATCTATACATGGGTGCAGAGCTACTTTCATTGACCCATATGCAAGTGATACCAAACTTTTTTGCTGTACAACTACAAATGAGGGAAGTATGATCTGTGGGGACTTGGAATACTTTTTCTTTCATGCAGAGAGCAATGTCCACCAACTTGCCTCCTAGTATTTTCTTGGGTAGATTAGCTGTTGGCTCAGATTCACTAGTTTGCATGCAGGCCTGAGCATACTGCATCCAGCTTTGTGTGACTCTGCTCTCTACCACTGCTAAATCAGGTTGAGTTGGGAAGTTAGCTTTTTTTGGCATTAGGTATCACGCTGGAGGTACTATGAGGAGGCAGATAAGAATCAAGACCTGGTCAGTAACAGCCTACCACTTTTTTTTTTTTTTTTTTAAAAAGAGGGGCAGGGGGAAGCATGATTCTAATGCTAATTAATCCAGTTACAAATGGATGGGTGGAATCACTGTCTTCTGCTTCATGTTGTGATAGAATGGTCATGTCCTGGGTGAACTCCAATTTACAAAACACCAGCTAATTGTGGGATGTTTCAGTCCTTACCTAGGACCCTGAGTGCAGTGCTAGCTCCTTGTGGGGCAGCCCTAATGTCATCTTTCTTCCAGTGTCTTGTAGCACTGACACCTGAATCCAGGTGATGACATTGCTCTACCTTTTCTCTTAGATAATGCATGTTTATGGTGTGAAAAATTAAAACCCTTTTTAGTGCACTGTAAATCTTTCTATTAACTTGAATGTGTTCTTCCATGTACTTGTGCTATGGAACAAGGAATTCAAAGGAAAGCTGTACTACTTAAACTCAAATATGTGAAAGGAAACTAGCTAAAGTAATAAACGCTGTTGTGTTTTCTGGTCTTCAGGCAAGCCTGCACCATTGTTGAATTCCTCTCCTGTTACACTACTGAGCATTTTGACTGCTGACAAAAGATACCTTTGGGGCAACGTATTCAATGTGTTAATGCATACCTTTTTATGCAGTGTGTGAAAATCAGCTGTAGTTAATTCAGGTGGTGTCTAGTCTCTGCTAGAAATGTTATAAACTGATGTGGCAAGATGATGTTTTGTGTAGTTACTGTAGAACTTGGGTAGAGGTATTTGAATTACTTGTGAAATGCTGATCTCCAGAAATGTCTCACAATGCTTGGAAATTTATTTTGTGAGCAATCAAATAATACAGCTCTATGAAGATGACCTGTGGAAGTGCTAGAAAGAGGCACTTTTGTTAATTGATATTAAAACCTGTTGAGAGTGGGGATTTGGTGAGGCAGTATCATGACTAAATTTCCTTTCAACTACTTCTGCGGTTGGAGGGAAACTTAGAAGGAACAACTGCATAATTTCTTTGGTGTTTTTTTAAAATTAATATTTAGGTTGCCTGTATGTTGCGATCACATCGTGTTTTTAAATGACTGTCTTAATGGTACCAAAATCAGCTCTTAAGTTGAAAGATACATGCTTGTAACTTCAGATAGTTTTTTCTACTTGTTTTTTGTGTTGTTTTCTATGTTACCATCTTTTAAATTAGTTTTTTACATTAGAGAAGTATTACTTTATTTCTAAAACTTACTACATCATGTTAATCAGAACAGCGTGTTCCAATATTGCTTTACCGTGTCACTGTTTTTACTGACAGGAGATTGACAACCTGTCTTTTACTTGTTTTAGAGTAGCAAGTGTTTAAAAAAAAAAAAAAGGCAGAATTCAGTATTAAAAGAAGTATGTTCCAACAAATCAACTTTATGACTTATTTTGCCTCCTGAAAGGTAACTGACAAGCACTTGTCTGCTTGACTTCTCTAGGGGTGATGTGTTTAATCCTAGAATGTGGCAGTCTTCCCTCAGCAGGCTGATTTCAATATATTAACATAAACTAACAGCTATTAAAATCTATTGATGTTTTGAGCTCTGAATACTGGTAGCCGAAGAACGTAATACCTGCTATATTTAGCTCAAGAGTTGAAAAGCTTATTTGTTCCATAGCTTGGAATAACCTTTTCATTTGCAGCAACTAAATCAAATGGGGGTTATAATTGAATCTCAACTAGCTGCTGGGAAGCACTTAGAGAACACTTTCAGTGTGAAGGTGGTTGAACACTGGCATGGGTTGCCCGGAGAAATTGTGGAGCCTCCATCCTTGGAAGTATTCAGAATCCATCTGGACACAGTCCTGGGCAACCTGCTCGCTCTAACCGTGCTTTGAGCAGGGAGTTGGACTAGATGATTTTCAACCTCAGCTATTCTGTGGTTGTGGGACTTCTGTTTTGGAGGGGGAGGAGATTAGGAGGGGTAGGCAGCACACCTTGCCCATCCACTTTCCACGTATGTATGAAGCAGAGCTTGGATACACCAAAATATCTAATGTTTTGGGTTAACTATTGGCTGATCTTATGTTTAGTGAAGAAATCTGTTCCTGGTCAAGTCCTCCACTCAAAGCAAGGCAGTCAAATTAATTTTTTTTTCATTTGTAATCACAAACAGTGCTTTCAGATACTGTTTTAGTGGTGGTGGTGTTCTCTTCCCACAACTAAATGATCCAAGAAAGGGACAGATCCTGTTGACTTTGTAAGTCTGGCTATTTTTTACTTTGAATTATGGTCTCCAGATGTTCACAGGATGGGATCTTCACTGAAATTTTCTGTAACTTTGTAACTTATGTCTGTACTTTTCTTTGTAAAATATTAAGGTTGGTTATAGGACCCAACTTAAAATGTCAACAATTGCTCTTCTTTTGGATGTCACTGTCATTTAGGTGGTTAATACATATTCCATATTGTTCCAACTATTAGACAAAGTTTCACTTTCCCCCTCCCCTCCACTTCTGCTCTTCAGAGTCATATTGATACAGGTCATAACAAAATGAGTTTAATTCAGAACTAGGGTTTTAAAATTTTTTTTTGTTTAAAAAGCATGGTTAAATGCAGAAAGCAGGATTTTGCTTTTTGCATGGAGAACTGATGGAGTGTGGATGTCTTGAGAGGGGTGTTGGCTGCAGAATTTGTGGAGGGGGAGATCTTAAATGAAGCAGCAGTATCTGGGTAGGAAGGACAGAGACAGAAGTAGGTGTGGTGCTGTCAGTTGAGTGAGCAAGAGCAATGAATTTGGGTGGAATCTGAAATTTGTAGGGGAAGTTCTGGGGCAGGAGAAGTGTTGTATCAGGGATTCTGATCCCGAGTGGCTGAGAGGTTCGGACTGGGGCAGAGTGTCAAACACCTGGTACTTTGGGAAGTTTAGGAAAGGAACGGGCATGCACAAGGATTTGTGGACCAAGAGAGGATTGGGTTTATCATGTGGCACTCCTGTCCACTGTAGCACTTTTAGGGTAGGGCCTGAGGCTACAGATCTGAACTGGACTGTCCACTCTTATAGTGATTTGAGAAAATACAGCAGCTGAAAGGGAGGCTGAAAAGGTTGTAGACTTCTCTTTTGTGCTATATGGAGTCCAGACTGGCCATGGGTAAATGTGGTCAGTGCTGTCTTACTCAGTCCCTCAAGTGACTCCAGTGACAGCAACATATATACAGTGAGCATTTGTAGAGGTAAGTGGGCTGCCTTGCATGAGGATCCTGGTTTTTATCTGCTTCACTTTGCCTTCATTTTGAAGTTGGCTTGTGTTCATGCTTATAATTAAATCTTAATGACTACGGGTTGCAAGATTTCAGATTTCAAAATTTACTTCAGAAGCTTTTATGGACAGCAGTAACTTTGATGGGACTTTATTTTCATCAGAGGCAGGCTTTAATGATCAGTTGTGCATCAGTTGGCAGTAGTTCAGCTACATAAGGATTAAAATTTGAAAGTCTTCCTGTTTTTTAAGTAGAATACTAACCAGGATGTCCAGGAAAACAGACTACAGGTGGCATTTATGGTATATTTTGAGATTTTTGTACAAATCTGTTGCCCAGAATTTTGCTGAGTAACAAATTGCACTGTTATAATCCTACAGCTACTGTGTTTTATTATAACTTCGTGATATTGAAGGCATTTGTCTTGTGTTTTTTAAGCCTTTAGCAAAGGGATTTCCCTGTCTATTTTCTTACACAGGCAAACATGCTGAAGACATATTTGGCGAATTGTTTAATGAGGCCAACAGCTTCTACATCAGAGCAAATTCCCTTCAAGACAGAATTGATCGCCTTGCTGTCAAAGTTACCCAGCTGGATTCAACAGTAGAAGAGGGTAGGTAATTGCATGAAAGCATTGAGCCAGAAGTGATGTTAAGACCACAGTATTTAATTACACAACAATCTCTGTCTTATCAAAGTAATCCTGAACCAATACTTCATCTTGTTTTCTCAGTAAGGAAAGCTGGGGAAAATCATGTTAGAGCGAGAAAAAATATTCTCCAGTCGTATAACTGTCTTGATTTTTGACTTAGTGTTACTTCAAGAAGCCCTTGTAGTAATGGAGTCATTAAGCTGCCTTTTTCACAGGGAAAACTTGTAGTTTGTGAGTGTAATAAATCGGAAGTGAATAAATCTAGATCTTGCTGGAAATAAGTCAGAATATCGGAAGACATTTGAGATGGTAGATCTATTTATTTCAGGGTAGGGTGGTCACAAACTGTGTTAGTAGTGTCTGTTCTGTAGTCAGCTAAGATCTTATAATACTCTTTACCTAAATGAGGCACTGCATGTTTCCATCAACTAGGTGAAATTCTCTAGGGACTTCTAGTCACTAGAAACAGTATTTCCTTTAAAATGCTGTTATGTACTCACTTGCTGACGTGTTTGGTCATTCACTTCATAAATACACAGTAAAACCAAAGGATTTAAGTAACATCATTACATTGTTCAAAAGCGCTTATTTGGGTAAGTAAAACATGTTTCTCTGTCTGGCTCTAAAAGCTGTAATGTGCATGTTTGCTTCCATGTTCATTTACATGTCTGAGCCAGCCACTGCATGTACGCCCTGTTTAGATGATTCCTGACATTTAATAAAATGTAAAAGCTTGTTACGTCAAGGCAGTAGTGTAATATTTACTCAGTAGTAGTTAATGCTACTTGTGATATGTTTAATAGTACTGTTTATATGTTTTATATATATCATGTAATATTTATATTTGCATAGTTTATGTATTACATTTAATACTACTATTTATGCCAATATTAAATGTTACTGTTGATATCTAATAGTGTAATCTTTAGCCTTCTGTTTTTAGCTTGTTACTGTCTGAAAGTTATTACATGTCTGATTTTTTTCTGGTTTTGGAACATGTTAACTGGTAGAGTATCACAGTTGATACTAGCACCTTTCTTTTGATGTCTTGGATGTCAAGAGCTATATGGGAACATAAACTAAGCTATTATGGGTTCACTATTCAGCCTAGTTTTTGAGGCATGTTGTGGTGGTAATATGAGCAAACTAGATAATATTCATATGCTGTACTTGCTCCGTGTTGAGGTGGATCATGTCAGTCTTCATGACTTCTAAGTCCCAACATTTGTGGAAGCGCAGTTCTCATCAGAGGTTGTTTTTGCTTTTGTTTCTTTTTTTAACGTCTAATTTGTATTATGCAATACCTTCTGGCTAGTTTCCAGAGTTTGGAGAGTAATTAAAAGCAGCCTATTGGAAGGGGAAACTAGTGTATGGACTGAGAATTTAATTAGTTTTTATTTTAAATTGACAGCAGTTACTACTCTTGCACTGCTAATCGTCTTTCACATTAAGAAGCTATATATAAAAACTGCTGTCACTTTAGTGTCAATAGGAAATTTTATTAGCTATTTAGCTGTAGAAGTTGAAGTCTTTATAATAATTCATTGTACTGTTATTAATGCTCAGTATATTTCTGGGTAGTTAGTTTTAATTGCATCTGTGATTTCTTACATTCTTAGGTATAAATATATAGTGTATCTATAAAAATATTTTATGTATATAAATAATACTACAGTTGAAAAAACATTTTAAAATAATAGTTTTTAATAGCACATAAATAGCTTACATTAAAAAGCTCCAGAAAAATGGGATTTTTGCTCTTTTGGATGTTACATTCTCGTTTGAAGGAAGGCAATTCAGAGAGATACATCTGAAAAAACTGCCTGAAATACCTTACTGGTTTACTTACAGGCAGGTTTAAATAAAGTGGTTTCTCAAAAATGATGTTTTGATGCTTCAGATGACATGGATGGGAAATGACAATTTGGAATGAAATATTCTGTTTCTAATTTTTTTTGCTATTTTAAAAGCTACGGAAGAATCTAAGTGGTCTTGGAGTGAGGGGCAAGACCTCAGCACAGATAACAAAAATAGTTGGGTAGAGAAGTCTGAGTGGGGTTTGTTTTCCATCGTGACAAAGGATAACAATGTACCTTACAGGGTCTGTATCAAACTTCATGCCTTTCTGGTTTTGCAGGTCATCAATATACTACATTTTTGCCTCGTACTGTTCAGTTACCATGTGAAGTTCTCACAGTTTGTTCTCAAGACTCAATAACTTAGACGAATGGGCAAAAAAATTAGATGAAATGTCAATGGGAATAAAAAGAAAACAAGCCAGTGCATTTTGTTTGCACTACTCCTACAGCTTCCGCTGTTGTAAAACAGTTGGATCAATTCAAGAAATGGTTACTGTCATTGTAAATAAGCCAGTGAAGACTTCAGTGCTCTGTTCAACTGCAGTCAAAAACCTGTATTTCAGACTGTCTAAGAATGGAAGATAATGTGGAGAGCTTACTGCCATCTTTAAATTGTGATTGGCATAATCTGGATCTTTCTAGCAATGGTCACTCCATCTCAGGAAAATTTACATTAAGAGTGAAAGAAAGTCCTGCTAAAAGTGACAGGAACAATTAAAAGCAACTTAAATCTTTCATTTAAAAAGAATGAATGAAGAGGCTAGTATTGTTTCCCTCAGAATTGTGTATGTGAAAAGATAAAATGGCAGTACATTACTGGACTGTATAAAGAAGGTTAAGTATTTCTCTTGATGGAGAGATGAGGAAAACTGAAGATCAAGGGATGCTCAACTCAAGGATTTAAAAAATGTGAAACTCTCTCTTGCAGGAGGTTGTGGAGGCCATAATTTAATTAAACTTAGAATGTGGTTGAATGTGTATGGATACCACATGTAACTGTAAAACATGCTGTGTCAGAGGAATACCAGACCTTGTGTTTCAGGCTTGAAGCCAGTCTTTCTGCTGTTATAAGTCCAGCTTAAACCTCAAATAAGGGGAGCTCATTGGACATCTGCATGTTACAAGATTCTTGCATCATCTTGCAAGACACAGTCCATGGTCCCATTACTTTAAGTGAGGTTCTGGACCCAGTGGGACTTAAATCTGATTTATTGTGGTAATTCTTATATGCCTTTGTGATTAAATATCATGATTATCCACTAAAGAAAAATCTTTCAGTTTTCCTTCTATATTTTGCTGAAAGTATTTTAAATAGCTAGTGTAAAATGGACTTTGTTTATCTGCTTATGTTAATTTCAGGCCTGTGATAAATGTATTTTTGTTTCTAACAGTATCGTTACAGGATATCAACATGAAAAAAGCATTCAAGAGCTCAACAATTCAAGATCAGCAGGTAGTTTCAAAGAACAGCATTCCTAACCCGGTGGCTGATATTTATAATCAGAGTGACAAACCACCACCTCTGAATATTCTTTCACCTTATAGGTATGGAAATATTGTTTATGTTCTCTTACTTTGCCCTTTATCTCCTAGTTGTAAGCAGAGAATAATTACAGCAGAAGGGAAAAGCTGTATTGGTTATTGAGATTTGTTTTTTCAGGGACTTCCTTGTTCATGGAAACAAAAATTGTTATTACCACACTTAAAATCATAAGTTGTTCCTGACAAAAACCATCATATTTCGGCATAAGTGTTACATGGCAGCACAGGATCAAAGAGGAAGGGCCATTGATTATGTAAAAAGTGAAAAAAAAATTAAAGATAGAGTAAACTGCTTGCTTTGGTTCATTTATCCAGAAAGCTGGATTTGTTGCTTTTGCCTTCCCTGTATTCTCCCTCTTCCCCCCAACATATACACATGTGTGCCCGCACACAGTCTTTACCTTTTCCTGGTTACTCATTGGTGAATAAAAAAGCAGCAAGCAGGACTTTGTTTCCTGTTTCCTTTTAAGTTTATTGTTGTTCATAAAAGGAGTATAACTTGTCTGTCAGAAGGGTTGTGAACAATATGCTTTTACTGTGTCCTTCAACTTTTGAGAGGTACTAGGTTGAGTGCCTGCTTTACATAGTTGTCTCACAATCTGCAGTAAATAATTTGAAGGTTTTTTTTAGGAATGACATAGCAGAGCATTTGCAGTGTATTTAATTTTTGAGAGCTTTTACTTGGAAGGTAAAATGGTTAGATTTATAGCTGAAGGACATGTTTTTGTCCGTAGCAGCGGCAAATGGTGGCGTTTGTTTATAGGCATCCAGTTAGCAAGAGTTATCGATCAGCTGTGATGCACAGCTATGTCCTAAAATGTATTTGGATGACAGTGTCAGTGACCTGTTTTATTAGGGATACTTTGGTGAAACTTATTTAAATTATATTTCTTACTAAGTCTTTTACATGTGCTGAATTTAAATTATTTGTGTTTGCCTTGGACAAGACTTAAACTTCACATTGTAGTCTGACCAAAGCTGGAGGGGTGGAAAAATGGCCCCAGTACCCCCTTCAGTAGGTTAGATGTTTGTAGTGAGGAGATCTAGTGCAGAGAAAGTAAGGGGTTTATGGCCATATGACCAGACAGTATACAAGATCTGCTTTTTGTACCCTGCTGCAGTGGTTGTAAGGTTTCCATGTGCTGGATCTCCATTGCTCTTGATCTTGCTGGTAGAAATTAGTACTCAGCTGCCATCAAAATTTGCCCGGCAAGAAGTGAGGACCCACAGCCAAAAAGGACTCTGAAGGACAGCAGTTTAGCAAGCTTTATATGCTGTCTGGACCATGACAGCTGCCCTGCCATGAGACTCCCCCTACACCCGTTGCTTTCCAGGAGTTCGGGATATTAAAAGATTCCCTATATCCAGGCCAAACTAGGAATTGATAGCATGCCTTTTTTGTGGCTTCTTAGTCTGGGTGTCCCTGGCTCCCGCTGCCAATTGGAGCTGGCAAGCCCAGATCAGCTCTGTCTCAAACCCTCCTAGAATAGTTGCTACCCCTTTCCTAGCCCTTCCCCTAGTGAGAAGAGTCCCACTGAGAACAGCGACTGTCTTGTGCTTCCTGTCATAAGGGCGAAGGTACTCAGACCTACCTTGTTCCTCAGTTCAGATCTTAAGACCCATCTGGATTGAGCCAAATACTCCTTTTCCAGTTCTTTTGAGACAGTTGAGTTCTATTCTTATGCTCCTCTGTCCCCTGTGCATCCTGTCTTGGCACTGATCTTGCAGCACCAGTGAATTCCGTTCCTGTGAGCTGACTGATGCCGGAGCCTAGTCAGCTCCTGCTGAGCTCTGATGAGGCATAGCCTGGGAGTATGCCTCCCAAAAGGCTGTGGCTTCCACACCTTTCCCCTGAAATTCTTGGCATGAATCAAGCTGATCATAAGCTGTAACTACCAAGAGCAGCATTTAACGCACTTGGCATGCTGTCATTCTATAATGCCAAAAAGATGAAGCTTGGATGATCGTCGAAGGTGAGTTTTGTTGGTTTGAAAAACATTAATTCATGTTTTCTTAGCTTTTCTTCTACTGTATTTCCAGGGATGATAAGAAAGATGGATTGAAGTTCTATACTGATCCTTCCTATTTTTTCGATCTGTGGAAAGAAAAAATGTTACAAGATACTGAAGATAAGCGAAAAGAAAAGAGGAGACAAAAGGTAAAAGCAGAAACATAATAGCAAATGTATGTATTGCAGTTTTGTGTACAGTTGTCCAGGCATAAAAATTGCTAGGTCATACTTAGTTTGTGTGCATGGAAACACTATTCCTTCTTATATGTGGCTGTAGATTCAGTTGGTTCAGTTTTTATAGCTCATACTGTTTATTTTAAGAAGCTGGCAAACTGAATTTTAGGAGTACTGTAGTTATCTTCCAAGATACTTTCTTTAATCCTTTGCCAGTATCTGCTTATTAGTCCTCAGCAAAATGGCCCTGTTGTTCTTTGGAAAAAGACACTGTGATTTTGGCAGGGGGCAGGGGAATTTGAATTATGGTTTCCTTTATTTTCATAGTTCTTTATCCAGCAGTATCAACTCCTGTAGCAAAACATAACTTATCCAGAAATAAATATTTTGTTGTTTTTTTAATTCCTTGATAGTAACTCTTTACTTTTTCTACACCTGTTACAAGTTAGTAAGATAATACACAAAATTATTCTGCAGTTCAGCAACAAGAGAAGATTAATTTTAGGAGTAATATTCTCTGTTTCCTTTAAGTTTAAAACCAACAAATAAAGGCTTTTTCATAGAAAAGTGTCTTCAGTCCTTCTGGAATATCTTCAGCAGTTTGATCCAAGATGTGTATTCTGATGCAATCAAGATTTTCTTCATGGATTTTAGTTTTGAATGAAGAAATTAGTTGCTACTTCTGCAGCTTCTTTGCCGTCAATGTTTTTATCAAATCTGAGGGCTTTAAGATTTTTGCAGATTATACTGAAAAAAAAAAAGTTAAGAAGGAAAGTTTTAAGCAATGACTGCCTATCTTATCTGGCAGAAGGTGCCCTTGTAGATGGGTTCAGTGAGAGATAAGGGATTTAAAATAAAAGTCCAAACAGGATGCACAGACTGCTCAGAGGAAAAAGAAGGAAGCTACTTAGTTTTCAGTACGTGTACACACAAACATACACATATATATCATATATACTAGCATATCTATACATGTGTATATATAAGCAGGTATCATAATATATGAGCGTATATACATGTATTATACATGTGTATATACATAATGTCTAATACATGAATATACCTGCTAACATGTATTTGGGTATATACATCATGTGTGGTATATATGGTACCTGCTTAGAAATCAATTTGTAGGGCATGGCTGGGAAGCTTTACTATTCTGTTTTTATAAAATTCTATTAATTCCTTGTTCCTGTTGCTAGACAATACTTTCTGAACACAATATTTTTAGACAAAACATGAAGACTTGTTTTAACTAAAATATTTTGTGAATTCATGATTTTAAAAGTTTTGGAAGAAATAAAGTGGGTCTTCCTGTTATGAGTATAAGTCAAAAATGTTTTCTGTTTTGACAGGTATCTCAGTATGGAAATATTAAGTAGAGTTTAAAAAGCTGAGTAAATATTTTCAGTAGAAGTTACTGTCTAAAGCTAAGTATTGGAAAATATTCACTTGGTTATTTCTGTAATCATATACAAATGTATATGCAAGGTTATAATCCTACCGTATTCTCAGTGTGGTAAGTCACAGAGCTGATTAAAAGACTGGAAATAGTTAAAGCAGCTTTCATTCTCTAGTTTAGTTTTTTTTTTAATTTCATTCAGTATTTCTTTATGAAAAACATATAGGGATAATTGTACCCTTCAGGGTTTTTTTTTTTCCTCCCACCATTTTCCCTTCAAATTTAGATCTTTTCACTAGAGAGAAGGATAAAAAGAAACTATCAACTGCTATTTTTTTCATTCTGATTTAATATTAAAAAGAAAAAAATACAAACGCTTTTTAAAAATATTATAACAATATTGCTTGAAAATTTTTGATAGCTTTAGAGAGATTTTTACAAAACCACTTTATGTATAAACTTGCTTTTAGAATGTATTTTAGGCAACACATCTCACTTATTTCCATCCATGGTATATTTTTGTAGATTTTAATTGTCTTATTACAGTCTACAAACTCAATTCCAATCATGTAGGATTATAGACATACATCACAGAAATACCCCCTGGTAAATTCTACCTGAAGTGCTATTTGATTTGATTAAATATATAACAGACCAACTAAGAAGAAAGCAGCATAGATTTGAGTTTGCATGGATACGTGTGACTTTGTGACAGGAATAAATATGGTTTCCAGAAGTTGGGGTGTAAATGAGCTTTTTATCGTCTGGAACCTTTAGAGGCCTGGAGAGTTTGGGTGAGATGTCTCACAGGCACCGTTCATTCCACAGGTGGCTTAACAGACTGTCATTTTCTTTTGTTCTTGTCCTTATGATAGCAGTGACGAGGAATGAATCCAGAGCATCTATTAACAAGTTTGTGGCTGAAGTTGTATTTTGAATCTGCTAAGTGAGAATTCCTTACACAGTTTACACTCTAGAGAAGCACAAAATATGAAAAACTGTGCGGGTGAAACAGATGTGTATTGTTTAGCAAATTATAAATGAGACATCCAAATGCACTCCTACTCAGCTGACCGAATATAGCTGGTTTTTAACCTCAATTTTTCAGGTGGTCAGTGAAGCCTGAGTACTCCTTGCACCAGAGAAATCAGTTTTCCAATATTATTTTGGTAATTTGCCTTAATGCTTGAGCTGTTGCAGCAGCAGGTTTGTGAGAAGTTTCATTTTCCTGCCGAACTTCAAATATCATACTTATTTACTGTTTCTGTGTTCAGGTTAACTGAAGAAATCTAACACAGGTTTTCTCTGATTTGGCTTTTTCAGGTGAACTTTTTCTCTGAAGAAAACTGTAATTTTAATCTGTGATGTAGTCTCCGGTTTGTTTTTTTTTTTTTCTGTCAAACTCTCAGTAGATCAGTGTCTTAAGAGTTCAATGAAATTAGTTTTGACTTGTGCATATATCAGTAATATTCTGAATTGAATGACCATAGTAGACTAGTTGTTAATTATTGGTTAACCAAAGGAAAGTTGTTCTACTTTACTTTTTATTGTTCCCCATGTTTTCTGAGGAATAATTAGTTATTTAAATAAGTAGAAATCTTTAAATTAGGAGGGCTTGCATTTCAAAAACTATTCTTAATGATGTGTGAGTGATAGGATCTTGTAAATTTGTGAAGTCAAGAAAATCCTTCAGGCTCATGCTTCCAGTTTTTTGAAAGTATTGCAAATACTTGCTGAAGCTACTTTCTGTTACTAGCTCTTATTCTTTATTAAGACGCTTGAAATATCATTTGCTAACTCTTGATGCAAATATCAAATTTAAAATTAACTTAACCCTGTTTGAGGACTCTAATATGTTCGTTGAGTTTGCTGAAATCACTTCCTGCCAACAGCTGAATGACGTACCTGTTTTCTGGCTTAACCTACAGCATCCACTTGTCTGCCACAGCTTCTATTACACTTGGTTTAAAGGAAGTAACTCTTCTTAATGTTGCTTAACTTTCCTAAGAAATTTCTAAATGTAGTTATTTTGAAAGGCTTCAGCTCCCCTAGAACTCTGTCATTGCCCTAGGTACTAAAACTAGAGCTATCACCATTGTTTGTCAAGGTAATGAAAGTATTACTGGAAGAACTTAAAACTGCTCTTAGAGGTATATGTAGTTAGAGGTATATATAGTTTTGTCAGCTGCTAGTAATTGGCCTGCCCCACTGTTTTGGAAGAAATTGAATGTTTTAGAGATGTATTTATATAATAATTAATAAAAAAAAAATCACTGTTTGAGTAAAAAGGGTTCCAGCATATTTATTCATTAGCACACTTAGAGATTCTGGTCTGGAACAACCTATCCAACTGAAATCTGATCCAATAAAAACAAACTAAGCTTTGTGTTTATTTTATATTGTTTATTTATACATGCATATGTAGCAACCTTTTTCATAAAAAACATAGTCATCTCTTTAAAACCAAACTTTTAAATAGGTGGTTATATGTAAGCAGTCATGTAAGCACTCCTGATTGTACAGGAACTGTATCAACATGGTTGTCTTCTGAGCAGCATCATACATTGGTCAAAAGGTGGATATTTACTTCATCTAGAAACTTCCAAGAAATACATAGTTGTGACCCTTAGAGGATGGAGTTACTATTCTGTGAGAAGAGAAAGCTAAAGTGTATTTTCAGTTAACCAAAAGGCTTACTTGTACTTTCTTCTCAAATCTAGCATGGCTGAGTAACAAAATCCTAGTAAATGAACCAGGATAAAAGTCAGAAATTAAAACAAATTAAATTTTGGAGCAATCAAATGAAAAAGACAGATGTCAAGCCTTTAAAAATCATATATTCAATGATTGCAATTAGCAAAAATGTATATATTTAAAATAAAGCATGACTGAATCTGTTTCCCTTCCGCTTCAGTTAGCGTATTGGGAAATTTTTATGTGAAGAAGTGGTATCAAAGGAGAAAGTAAAGCCTTGCATAACCTGGATAAAGGGTGTGATTCTAAAAAGTTTGGGGAGGAAAAAGATTTTATAGGAAGTAGTTAAGAAGGAAGATGACAATCTTTACTTAACATGCATCAGATCAAAAACCTACTCACTGCACAGGCCAGGAATGAGCAAGTGTTGTTGGAACATTTGGGTGCTGAACTTCAAAAAGACTTTTCTCTGTCGTTCTTAATGTTAGCAGATGCGGATCAGGAAGTCCCTCATGCGGACATGCATGAACAAGCAAGTGATCCAAAACAAGGGCAAACAAGCCATTTGATGGATTTTTGTTAGTTGTATAATGCCAAATACATTATTTCAGAATTATTAACTCAGTACTATTTAACAGTTGGAGTACAATACCTGTGTTTGTGGTGTGCTTTTTTCTTTTTGGCGAGACTGGCTTTCCAACTATTATCCCTTACTTTGAAGGTAGAGATTCTACAACAAAATGCTTGCATATCGGCATTTTACTGAACTCCTAAGTACAATTGAATGACTGCATTCTTGGAATATCAACGTAATTCTTTCCTGAGAAACTATTTTTCTAGCAGCCAAAAGCCTAATACCAACTTATTAATAAATAAAACATGATTAACCTATTTATGAATTAGTATTCTAAGATATGGGCTCTAAAGCTGATTAAAAAACATCCAATGCCCTCATAAATGTTCAGAAAAGGAGTAGCACATAAATACCCTTTTCAGTTTGGGTTGAGCAAACACGTTTATTTTTCTACTGAAGCACCAGTAAGGCTTTTCTATTCATACTGAGTAGTCAGAAGTAGGTGAGGACAACATTTCAGAGGTGTGAAAGCAGTGAGTCCCACTATTAGGAGAAGTTACTGATAGATAAACACTGACGTTGATTGAGCTTGAAATTCTATAGAAAGATTTAAAAAAACTAAACACACTGATTTGTCATGAAGCTATCAAGCTGTAATATATTACTGGCCAGAGTATTACTGACACATTGCAGAGAGGATTAGTGTCATTCATTTTTAGATAAGATAATGGGAAACAACAATGAGGAAAAACTAGGAGGAGTTTTGGTAGTTAATCAGGTCTAAGAAGGGAGAGGAAGTTAAAACAAAAGACCAAACAAAAAATAATTTCATGTAGACTATGAAATAAGAAAGTGTTTCTAATTTTTTCCATACTTCCCCAAGGCTTCAGGTGATTGTGACCCTAATGAATAACCAAAATAACCCTGAGCACATTTAACATATTCTCATAAGATTGATTTGCAGGAGAAGGAAATTACAAGTGCTTCAGGACAGTCTAAATAAATGACGTATGATGTCATAAGAAGTTAAACTTTCTGGCTTTTAAAATCAGTCACATTTCTGAATTGGGAAAAACAGTAGGTTGGTATCATACTAGCATGTTCCTGCAGAAGAAGGGCAAAGCAGCAGTCTTACTACTAATGAGCTTTATAGCATAAGGAGATATTCTCATTTTCAGTGCAGAGAAATTTTTTGAAGACTTGGCTTCATCTGTAAATCTGGTCTTATTTTCATGCACTCTAACTGCGTTTTAACCAGCTTTTTTCCTTTCCTTTTTTTCTCTCTTTGCATGCTTTATTTCTTTTGTTTGAACATTAGGAGCAAAAGCGTATAGATGGCACCACCCGTGAGGTGAAAAAGGTTAGAAAAGCCAGGAACAGACGCCAGGAGTGGAATATGATGGCGTATGACAAAGAGCTTAGACCTGACAACAGGTTGTCTCAAAGTGTGTACCATGGAGCATCTTCCGAGGGATCACTGTCCCCAGATACTAGGTCTGTTTACAGCAAAGCTGTTTGTTATACCACAGTTCTGTGTTCAGAAATACTGAGTAGAATTAGGTGTTTTTGCAGGTTGGGAATAGTTAGAATAGACAAAACATACAATGCATGTTTTAAAGTTCTTCTGAAAATTATTTAAAAACATAACAAATGCGGTAATGATTTTTTCTTCCTCAGCTTCAGATGAGCATTTGTCATCATAATGTTATACACCGTAGTGAAATAAGTGTTTGCTGCATGCTTTATATTTGATCTTGAGTAGTTGTAGTTACAAAAGCATTTAAGCCTGCGTCTACTAGATAATGTCAGTACCTCTTCATTTGTGTCTAGTTTGTCATGTAGCTGCTGATAGCTTAATAAATATTTTTGTGATCTACTCAGTCAAGCATACTTTTGCCTCTAACAGAATGCTTTAATGGGGGAATAGTTCAGCTTTATTGACATTGTATTTGTCTAAAAAGCAAGCTACAAAACCAGATGCAACATTATTGCTTGAAATAGCATAAATCTCTGCTTAGAGACACACAGCAGAAGTCATCTTTGTTGGCTGAGATTCCCTTTGAGCTCAGTGGGAGTTACCTTCTGGTGTGCATGGAAGTCTGATTTTCTATTTTTTTATTAAGCTGGTCTCCATAGAGGATTTTCCCACATATTTTATTTCCTCTGTTGTGGTTAATTGCTGGTAGTAATGTTAGGAATAAATAGAATCTTCTGGAAAAAGCGTGTGACAATTGAGTGTTCAAATTGTTGAATGGGTAGGTTGAGGAAGCAGCCACCACTGCAAAAGTGCGGACTGATACCTTTAGTCTGCTGTCCAGTGGAGGTTAATTAAATTAATTAAATTATTAATTAAAAAAAAATCTGCTCAGAACTTTGTAGATGTAGTGTTTTGGTCTTTGTGAAGAGTGATCATTTTGTAATTGAAACAAAAAAAATAGAAAGAAAATTGCTACCACTGTTTCAATAATTTATTCAGACGCCTTATTGCCAGTTTGGTTTTTTTACAGTTTCTAATGCAAAACGTTGTCACCTTTTTGTCAGTCTGTAATGTTTCATTAAGACTATGCTTTCCATAGGTTGATCTGATAGAATGGCATTGATGTTCAGCTGTCAAGTGCAAGATGTGGGTTTTTTCATCATGAGTTCTGCGTTTCACACATTTTGAGTCTTTCTCTAGCCTTAACTCCTTGCTTCCAGGATTGCCAAGTTTTAAATAATCATATTGAAGTAATTTGTTTTTATCTCCCAGCAATGTCAACATGTATTTGACTGTTTGCAGATATCCATAGTATTTGCAACCTGTAGGATTTTTTTAAGCAGAAATTGTAGACTGCATCATTATGTTGGATATAGATGTTGTGGTATGACAGATATCTTGTACTTAATATAATCCCTTCACATTTTATAATGTACTGAGAAGTTTAAATTTCAGTGAACCAAATATCAGTGATCGAATCCTGAAATCTGCATTTTTACATGCATGAAGGGTTAATTTTGTGAGTGGTAGTGAGGTGGAGAGAAGGCTTTCTATTTTTTGCCTTTGGGTAGTCTTAACTGTAGGAACTAAGCTATTAAAAAACTCCCATGCATATAGAAATGAGTACTGGTTTCAGAGACATTTTTATGCTGTCAGCTACTGCATGAGCAGTTTTACAAATAAGGTCCTAAAGAAGTGTATTTGGCTATACTGTGGTTCTTTTTTAATGCTAAAGTAAAAAAAAAAAGCTCATGTTTCTTCTCGTTTGCTAGTTGTAAGACTTGGGCATTGAACATTGATGTCCAAGTGTCTGGACTGTGGCAATTTACAATGTATTTGTTATACTTATTGTACTTTAGAGAGAGAAACACAAGCTGAATCCAAACAGAAACCAGCAAATTAATGTGAGAAAAGTAAGAACAAGAAAAGAAGAGTGGGAGAGAAGGAAAATGGGCATTGAGTTCATGAGTGACGCAAAGAAAATGGAACAGGCAGGAAGCATGAAAGAGGACAAAATGCCCAAAGGGTTTGTCATTTTGTTTTACTCAAAGCCCTGGCTTTTTGTTGCTTACCTTGCTTCCAGTCTTACAGATAATGCATCAGTTTACTGTGTTCACTAAAAGCCAGGCTGCACGATTGTTCATTACTAAAACAACTGCTTGCAGTAATGGGATGAAGAGATCCTTTTGCTCCCTCTCTTGGGCTTATTTGACAGAGCATCCTAGACTTTGTATCTTTATGAACTCTCTGCTCAACTAATATTTACATTTCCCAGTTTCTCTAAGCCTTTCCAGCAAAATTAATTATATGAACAAAATAAAAAGCATTTTCTAACTTTCAAAATTGGTTTTCTCTGCTTTGGTAAAATATATTTTTCTGCATAATTGCGAGTGCTTGCAGTATTGCTTTCCTTTTTCTGCTGCCATTGTTAACTTAAGGCAGGCCTGATAAGTATTATCATTTCAAACAATGGACTGTCAAAATCATTGACAAAAAAAATATGCCTCCTTCTAGCTACTAAATAAGTCTAAACTCTGGAGAAAGCTCTGAATTTTTTGGCCCTTTTAAAAGTCTGCATTATAGGAGGACATTCTGCATGCAGCTAGTATGCTGAAATATTGAAAACATTCAATTTCAGTCCTTTTATGCTGACTTGTCAGACTAATTTATTTTCAAGTTGGGTTAAGCTGAACCATGGGTTTTTGTTGCATTTGTTCTTGTGCTTTCTGTGGGCTTACAAGGGAATGGTGCTTGATAATCTGGGAGTCCTGTTGCAAGAAAAATAATTCTGATTGCATTCTTTTTAGCTTTTCTTGTGAGCTATTTAGATAATACCATGTTACACTCACATAATCTGTTCTTCTGCATCCATTTACTTTAATTTTAGGTCCCATGCATCTGATGTTACAGATTATTCTTATCCTGCTACTCCGAATCATTCCCTCCATCAGCAGATAGTAATGCCTTCATATGGAACAGGAGATGGTCCACAGTACATGGCAACATCCCAAAGCCATGAGCATGAATACAGACCACCTTCCACCACTGTACGACATGCTACTTTAAACAGACCTCAGCAACCACCTCCACCTCCACCCCAGCCTTCAGATGGCCAACATAGCTCAGTACCTGTGGTACCAGCAGAATATGGGTAAAACTCCTGATTTATTCCAGTGGATTCTTGACAAAACTAGAGGGATGCATGTTTTTCATAACGATCATAACATACAATGCATACACACAAGAAACCCCAAATACATTAGTTATCTCCCTGGGGAGGACAGAAAAAAATTGGTATAATTTCTATGTATGAACTGAATTTTAAGTAGCAGTGAAAGCAGAAATAATGAACTGTGTATTGAATGTGGTGAAATCAATATGCTTGTAAAATATTACAGTTTCCTAATATGATATTAAAAAGGGGATAATTTTTCCTTTAAAGCTGAAAATAGTTACAGCATAATTTGAGTAATATTTTAAACTTTAGAAAGCATTCAGAATAAGTATTGCCGAAGGTGATAAACATGGCAGTATGTGTTGCATCCCTGAAATTACTTTTTAAAGGAGTTTGACAGAATTGGAAGGGATCTCCTCAGACACAAGATCAAGTTCCGTAATGCCACAGACATCTCCATAATTCAAGATATGAATTTATTGAACTCCTATGTAGATATTTGGCCTGAATGCATTCTGAAGGAAGGCTTGCTCCAGAGTACTGGCTCTCTGATAGCAAGAAAACATGTGTTTTCTAAGCAGTCTGTGCCTGTTTGTTCTTTTGCTTAAATAGCTTAAACTTTCAACTTGTAACCCCAGGAAAATTGTAATCATTCTTGCCTGTGTTGTTTTAAACTGAGCAAGCCAAGCTTCTTCAGCCTCACTTGATGCATCTTGGAATAGCATTTGCCCAATTCATGACTGTATCATGCTGTAGATGACTCAGTTATGCTGTGATTGACTGCTCCAACCTGCATTTTCTCTGTTATTTCCAGTTTATAACAGAAATACTTGTGCTTAGTCCCCAGGTACATGACCATTGTCAGTGTATCACAGTTCTGATACATTGACATGTATCACTGAATGTCATCAGTAACTTTCCTTCAACTCCTGTCTCCTATATCTAATTCTTTACTTCAAAACTCTTACATTAACTCCCATTTTTTCTGCTTCAGAATTCTTTTAATGACACTTTAACAGAAAAATTAGCTCTTCCCTGTTCTTCCTCCTTAAAGTATCAATCAAATGTATCAATTTAATTAAATAATATTTAAATTGATAAACTTGACAAAAGCAACACATGAGATGCATGATATACCTTTGGGTGAATCTTTCTATTCATACTTTCCATTGTCCTCCATGCCTATGTCTTTTATTATCTCTTAATATTTGTTCTAACACTCAGTCTTCTATGGAAGTGGTATGTGTAGTCTGCAGTTTTCTTGGTCCATTCTTCATCATAGACATTGTATTTAATATTCTCACAGAGTAGTTGTTTAGTAATAAATACAGCTTTATACTTAACTAGGCAGGAGTATTAAGATAAAAATCTCACTTTGTGGAGTGCTGAAAGGACACTGCCTTTAACTTAATCATCTGCCTTAAATCTCAATGTATTATTAATATTTGACAATTCATATGTTTATAATCGCTTGCATATTTAACTCACCAGTTGAAATTCCTTTTGATTTTTTGTCTTAGCTGAGGTTGGATGAGAGCAGTTTAAGGGGTGATGATTCTCTAAGTCCTAACTTTCAGTGCATTAAATGTTTTTGTTCTGTTTTATATAGGATGCTTCCAGCTCAGATGGTGGATTATTACAATCCTACAGGTCCTCCCCCTCCTCCTCCTCCCCCTATGATTCCTTCAGCACAAACTGCATTTGTTAGTCCCCTTCAGCTTCCTGTGCCACCTTCCCATTCTGGACTGGTTACTGGCTCTACATACGCAGCTACTCATCCTCCTCCTTCTAGTGGGCTTGTTGTCACTGCTCCTCCTCCTCCCGGTCCACCTCCTCCTCCTCCAGGCCCTCCTGCTACAGGTTCATCCCTCTCTTCCTCCCCAATGCATGTGGCTCCAGCTACAGAGGCAAAACGTCATGAACCTGTGCAGCCACCAGTAAGTGATGCACGGAGTGATCTTCTTGCTGCCATTCGAATGGGTAAGTGGACGCTGAGTTTTAGATATTTCTCTTTTTTTTTCAATGAAAGCACTGTGTTTTCCAGTGATCTGAGTTCATGGCTTCTGTTCCCAGCTGGGCAGAATGTCATCGAGACCCTAGTTAACCTCAGCTACCACCCACCTATGCTAACATCTGTCAACCCTGACTTTGGATCTTTTTCTAATGCCTAAAGATGTACAGCTTTGTCAAACACGTTCTGGTGTTTGTGTGGACATAATCAAATTAAAACAGTACTCGTGTTCATTATGCACAGTAGCCAGTAGATGTACATGGATTTTTGCTTCTGTTCAGAAGAACTGAGTTATCCAACACTAGGCTTCAGCCCTCTGATACTTAACCAGTGACTAATGGCTGTTCCTGTCTTTGCTTACTATGTGGAGCTGTAGGTGTAATGGTATTTCAAATACAAATATGAAAACTTTCATCTTTAGATCAAAAGGACCAATGCAGTCTTGAATATTTAGTTTTAACATATTGTTGGCAGTTTTAGAAGTCTGGAAGTATTCAGTCTCTGAGAATATATTCCAACCTGCCTTTTTTGTCTTTTTCTCTTCCTTGCTCAGGGAGGCTAACTCAATGTTTTTTTCTTTTTTTTTTTTCTCCTTCTTCCTGAGTATATGTTAGAATACAAAAAACTCACCAATAACAATATGAAATTTAAAATCTCTTGTGCAGAAAACTTTGTCTGAGAGTAGTTGTCTCTACAGGAATTCAGCTGAAAAAGGTGCAGGAGCAACGTGAGCAAGAAGCAAAGCGAGAGCCTGTTGGAAATGATGTGGCCACCATCCTTTCAAGACGCATTGCTGTGGAATACAGTGATTCAGATGATGATTCAGAGTTTGATGAGAACGATTGGTCAGATTGAACCTGGTCCAAGCCCAGTGGCAAGTTCGTTAAATACTTGGCTTCAGTGATTGCTTTCTTAGCAAGATGTAAAGCAGGACATTGACATGTATTAAGGCTAGTGATCGAAGTGCTAAAATTGAATTGGTATTATTCAGAATGCTGTAGCTTAGCAACTCTGGTAATAATGATGTGATTATGCTTATGCAGATCAGAAACTTGTCTTACTTTCAGTATTTACCGCATAATACTTAAGTGCCACTAAATGTAGCAAATCATGTGCTGCGTGCAAAATATGCTGCAGTTGTTGCACTGTTACAGAACCAGCATTTTATTTTACTTTCCTGATCTTGAAGGGATAAGATATATTTTTTGACTTTACATCTTAATCTTTTAATTATCTAAGCAGCTTAGGTACTTGTGAATTGGTCTGGTTGTTAGTCTTTGAGGACAGTTAACTGTATGACTGAGTGAAGTGTTGAGTTCCATAAATATGACTTTTAGCTTTTTTATTAGTTACTAATTATGCCCACCTTAGTCTATTTTTAATCACTTCTTAGGGCTTAGGGGTTTTTTGCATACAGAATTGATTTTATGTAATTTTCTTTTTATCTTAAAAATGTAGCAGATGATGAAATATATGCTTTGAAGGATGAATCCACCTGATCCAAAATTAACATTTTGTGAGCAGACTGGATAAGATTGTAACAGTGTCAGCTCTAGGCTGCTGGCTGCTTGTTGGGTAGAGTGCTGGAGGGGGTCTCAGGTAGGTAGCGGATGCACATCCATGTCACAAATGAAAGTTAAAATACCTGTAGAGCTTTTCAGTTTTATGATACAGATCAGCTAAATGCAAAGACTTCAGGGTAGACCTGATTGAAGCCATATGGTTATTGCAGTGTAGAAATGTTACTCTGTTATTACTAAAGATTGGAACAGTCCAGATCTAGCAATCAGATACATTTCACAAGTATTAAACTTGGTCTTTATGCCTGGCGGTATAAATGTTTGTAAATAAGTTTTGTTGGTGGTGGTTTGTACCTGTATAGTCATGACAGATTGTTTTGTGTTTCCTGTAGCATGTTTACTCAAAACTACTATTACTTTGAATGTATTTCTTTCCGAGTACATCCCATTGATAAAACATTGGCAGTTAAAGCCGTTTTACTGGCTGTTTAGGTACTATGCCGTATATATACCCTTGTTTTCTCCTTCCTTAGAAACAGTTGCTGCCATACAGTCTGCTTTGGCTGTCTCTGTTTTCTTTAAAAATAATTCCTTTTTTTTTTTCAGTACAGTATTAAAATGGCTTTTTTTTTTGTTTTCTTCTCCCTTCTGGACTGAGAGTCAGGCTGCTGCTTTGCCTAATGAGGCTTTTAAAAATATATAGCAGGGGAAGAGTTCTTTCCTTACCAGATTACAGTTTTAATCTTTGTAACTGAAGTCTGTGTAATTCCAGGTCTAACATTTGGTAAAGCTCCTTTTGTTCTGTGAGGCCCCGTCTGTTCTTAAAAAAAAAAAAAAAAAGAAAAAAATGTAAAATAAAGAGAAATGGAAGATAATTATCTAACCTGTGTTTACACAATTAACAGTTTTAGTCCTGAGAACACGATGTTTGTGTGCAAACTATTGGCAATTGCATTGCTGTTTAATCTGCATATGATTTTTCAAACTGTGGTGGCTGTCTTTATGGTGGGGTGGTAACACGCTGCCTCAATGTTGGTGTTAAAATTTATCACATGAAGTATGACCAATCTCTGCATAATGGTGAGCATCTACAGCTCTTGGTAACTGGTGGCAGCTGAAGGTACTCATCTCTGTTTCAGTTGGAGCTCGTTTTGTCTTTGCCTTAAAATACAGGGCTGAAGTCTGCTTTATTTTGTGTCCTGGAGTCTGAGGTCTGTGTGTCCACCACAGAGGACAGAATTTAGGCCATAGCTGGATGGTGGTTTTCATCACTGTATGAGAGACGGTTTGTTCTGATCATCACGGTGTGCTTGCACAGTGGCTTCCAAAAGGATTCTTCGGACGGGTAGGCTAAAAGTGCAACTGGGACTGCAGTGTTACATCGCTGTATAGGTGGGGAGAGTACTCTCAGTATTCTTTTAATACGTGCTGAAATGAAGTATCTCAGCAGAAAATTCTTTCCAATCTACTGAAATTTGATATGACAGAAGATATATTTTATGAGCACAGAAGTTGGGTGTGTCTGAAATTTTGTAATTTGTGTTCATTTTAAATAATAAGCATTAAACAAGCAATCAGTTGTGACCAGTTAAGGTAGTGTCAATTTTTCAGTCATAGTAGCCAACCTGTTTTTCTGAACCTGCAATGTTGTCATTTTCCTTTCAGTATTTTATTAATAAAATGTGAATTGAATTTAGTGATGTAAACTAACATTATTCTAGGCTGTTTTTATCAGTTTTATCATACTTTGGGTTGTGAATAAGTAACAAATATGAATAAAATCTCACTTTTGACCCTGTCTGTCTTTCCTTAGATTAGTAAGATTTTGCTATTAATCTTTATCTCTTACCGATAAATAACGGAAATGAAAATGTAAGGCTTCCAAATGGTATCTGTGATCCCAGGAACCACAATTTTACTGGGATGGAGGCTGGAGTCTACAAAACCAGACTCCTTTATGGTACTGTTGCTCCTCCTAACACGCATACTTCTTTGTTCTTTTGCGACCTTGATTCAAGCTCCCAAGTTGAAATTCTTGGCTGGTGTAAACAGGTATTAATTTCCCTACAGGTAGCTTTAATTTTTTATTTTTTTTTTTTGGTGAAAAGCATTAAACAGCAGCTTTGCTTCCAGGAAGAACACGGCAGAATATGAGTTGTATTAGCAAGTCCCCTTCCCCACTTTTTTTAATAAGAAAGATTCTTTGTAGATTAATGACACCAAGCAAATTATTATAAAATGCAAACCCATGTCTGTCTACTAGAAAAATATTTTTAATTTCATTTTTTAATTGTAATCAGGTTAAAACCTGGTATGGTAACAGGAGAGGCTTTTCATCATGTTTGGAAGAACTTACATAAACCATTTGTGTAATAGAGTAGCCTAATTGTAAATTAAACAGATCTGTTTATGCATCTTAGCTGTGGTTGTTCCCTGGGAACATAAATTAATCTTTACTCCGTTCATCTGAAAATTCCAGTCCCTCTGAAGCTCAATTCTTATTTCGCTGAAATTTTCCATCTTTGATTTGAACTTAATTCGGTAATTTAGAGCAAAGACACCAATTCTACATAGAAACTGAATATACGAGCTTGCAATTTTGATTTAAAGGCTTAGTAAAGCATTTATAACTGCTCATTTATCAGTTGGGGTTGGAGTTAGGACTAACGATCACTCAGTATACTGCCTCTGCAGCTTTTATAGTTGTCTTTTGAATGTTAAAAAATATTTCCATGTGACTAAAATGACATCAGTTGGATTTTTAGGTATTTCAGATTTCTCTGTACTAAGATGAACTGCATGAAGAAGAAAAAAAATCTTTATTATAAGAGAGATGCGTGCTGTTCAGAACAAGCTCAAAATTGAGCTCGTTTGCAGTATGCAGATGACGTTGGGAGGAAGGGAAATGACTCCTTGGGAAATTGGTTCTCGTGATGTATTTTGCAGGTATGTTCTTTCTCATGTGCTGGGCATTGTTTTAATAACAAAGAGGTGTTCCCTTCTGCTTGAAGCAACATGCCTAAGGATACAGCAAATGTGTAATTTCTAAAAATGTTTAAAATGTCGCTGTAAACTGAACTGAATATAAACCTGATGATAATGAAAAGTTCATTAGAATCTTGTGGCTGGAAGCTGAAGTTGCATGAATTCAATCTTGAGCTGAGGTACTATTTCCTAGCAGCAGAGTAAAATGTTAGAACAGCTTATCCAAAGATGGCTTTGACAGTGATTTTTTTTTTTATTATTATTATTCTAAGGTGACATTGCACTTTTTTCTTCCTGAAAAAAACAAATAGACAGAAATCCAACTTGCTGTAGTCTGCTTTTGGGGAAAGGTTCTTGCCCTGTGGGGGCAGCTGGCCTGAATTGTTAATTCTGAGTCTGAGTTTGAGGCGTTCCTGATACGAGTACGGACGTACATACACAGACACACACATGCACACAGAAGTCCAAGGATTTTCAGCATCTTGCGGCAGCTCTGTATTCAGGTACTTAAGCATTGTCGGTGTGCTCAGTGATATACAGGGAATGAAAATAAATTATGATCCCTGCTAGAATCCCTCAGGCCCTGCTGTCTGCCACAGAATAGTCAGGAGTGACTTGAGCTTGTCACTGAACACCCTTCCCAATTCCCTTGGACTTTAAAGGAAGTGTGGGAACTTTGGAAGGACTGTGGGTTTCCAGTTGACCATCATCTTCCATTAAAGAGGTGAAGAGAAAGAATGAGAACGCTGAAAAAAACCATCCTTTCAGGACAAAACAGGGAGAAGAAATTTCGTATTTTGCTTTCTCTACTAATAGGTAGAGGCAAAGAATGGTTTTTCATGTGCTGTCAAATATCTGTAGGTTTCTCTGGAGAAATGTGTTCTCATTTGTGGGTCACAGAGGTGCGTGCTCCTGTGTGGGGAAAGCAGTCTCATGTGTTTGTGCTGGACTGGGCTTTTTTTTTTTCAGCTTCATGAGAAAACAAGTAGCCCCTAAGAGATTCTTGGCTAAATATAGTAGTCTCTTTGGAGATTAATTCTTACTGTTACAGATAAATAGAGAAGTTCTTACCTGATTAGCCAGAGCAGGGCGTACTTCTGCGCATTTCTCTTGGTGAGGGGTCACAGGCAGAGCACTTTGGAGATTAGAGCTGAGGGCAGCTCTTTCTGAGATGTCTCAACAGCTTGTCTAAGATGTGTTGCTTTTCCGAGTCACTCAGCATTTTCAGTCGCTCACATGCTGTCATACCACGTGAAAACTATCTGCCCTGTTCAGCAATCACTGACGTTGCCATTGTAGGTTAAAGGAAGGAAGAGAGGGCTGGGGATCTGACAGTTACCCTAATGCCAGTCAATACTGGGCAGTCTGTCGCATCTGTCTTTCACGGCAACTCTGAACAGGCGTCCTACCAACTATACTGAAGGGGGTGGCAGAACTCATCTAACAGTTTTCTCCGTTGTTCTTGAAAATCAGGTGCGCTCTTGATGTCCACCAGTGCTGCTGAATTCCTTGTTCGGTTTTCTGAGTAATCCTGGTGTTAATGTTTTGTTTCCCTAGTGAATTTAGCTTTCTAGTCCCTTACCAGTTGCCTTTCTCGGACTTGCCGAATGGCCTGCACCCACAGCTTCACCCTTCACAAACTGGACGTGGGTCACCAGCCGTTGTAGAAATGCCTTTGGTTGCCTGAAGTCAATAGCCCAGTGC